ATTACGTCAAACTTGAGGCATCAATAGGATGTGACTATTCAGGTAGAATGAGGATTGCACTACCGTGTCAAAAGACGTCAACAAACGAAATCGTGACATACAAATGATATCAAGGTTGACACAATACCAGAGTAGGAGAAAATCCTAAGTATGCTCTGAACAAACCATGCTCTGATACCAAACTGACACGCCCCAACCCCGATATCCCCAAATATCAGGGTAGGCACGTGCTGGCTGACACCCAAGGGTGACGAAGCCATTTTAAACACGCATATAACTAAAACATGTGATTAGAAAGAGGTACACAAATGCAGAATCGTGTTTAGAGAATACAACTAATCAAGAATGATGTGAAAGAATTATTATGGAAGGTATGAACCAAGGAATGGAACCTACACAGAGGAGGCTCAAAAATGCCTGAGCGGAAGTGCCCTTAGGTTGGGATCGTGTGCCTCGATTCTAACTCCTAAGGGGGCGCAAAAATATAAAAGGTGAGTGGACCAAAGTTTATAATAATAATACTAATAATAAGAAAACCATTTTCTTTATAAACATACTAACCCCCCGTTTTGAAAACATATATAATACTACATAATAGGTTTTTTTGAAAACCCTAGCATGCCATGAAATCATTCGTAAAACAAGTATGAGTAAAACCATGTTCAATAACGGTGCTATCATTGCCTGAAGGCAAATCCATAAATCTCATCAATAATGTACTTTCTAGGGGTATCATAGTCGCTTGAAGGCAGTACCTGTCCATCACCCGAAGATGAAGCTGAATATAATAGCATAACATACACACCGACACTAGCCGTGGCTAGTGAAGTTGTCCGACACTGGTTTCGCCAATGAAGCTGGGGGTATAAATATCTCACTACTCCTCCACTATATCATATGGCCATAGACAACATACCCGTGTTGTGTGTATGTGCCTTATGATAACCCACAAGATAAGCACCGAAAACATATTTCAAAAACCCGCATTTAAAACACTGGAGCTCAAAAGCTCAAAACCTCATTTCATAAATCCATAATAATGCATATTCATAAAACCCAAGTATTTCATATACAAAATCCCTAATCTTGTAACCTTTAATAAAATGTAATTTCGATAAATCATAGTTATTTCGTAGAGCAATTTAAATAAATCATAAGAATATAAATCCATAAAATATAGTAGAAAAATATATTCCACTCATAAAATATGCAATGCATGCAACCCTAATAATTTATAAAAACATGCAATTAAGGAAGGGGTCTGCTCACAGTATTCCATTGCCTAGAAGCCGCTCGAACTAGCGAGGATGGTGCCACTTCCCACAAACGCACCTAGACACAAAGAGAGGACATTTAATAAAACTCTATTGAAATGATGGAATTTGGGAAAACGGATAGCAGATTTGGAATCAGGACATTGAAATTAGCCTAGGAAGGGTCTAGGCCGAAATCCGCAAAAGTCAACCCAAAAGTCAACGTTGATGGGTCAACGGAAGTCAACAGAATTCAACGGGTCGGGTCAACAGGTTTACGAGTCACAGTCAACGGGTCGGATCCGGTTAGGGTTAATGGGCCAAGGGTTTTAGGCTGGTTATAAGGTTGGGCCTGGGTTAGATCTGGGTTAGGTTAATAGGCCAAGGGGTTTTGGGCCGGGTCATAGGATTGGATTTTGGGTCATGGGTTTAGGTTGGATACCAGATCAGGTCTGGGCCGGTTGCATGGCCCAACAATTTGGGCCAAGTTATTGGGTTGGCCCCGTAGCTGAGTTGGGCTGATTTTGAGTTATGGGTCGGGTCGACCAAATTCCATTTCTTGGGTTGCCAGACTTCAGAAGAAGGAAGCTGGAGCTTTCAAGCTCCGATCATCTCCAACTCACCACTAAACCTAGCGATGTAATATACCAAAATGAAGCCTAGGGAACAAGGATTCGAAATATACCTATTGAAAGCCGTGACATGGCCGGAGTTGGCCGGAAATTAGCCTGAAAGTTGCCAGGATTCATAAGGGAGCGTATTGCTCCATGCCTCCAGCTGTTCATATTTCCTATGCAGATGTCCATAGAAGGACTTGCTTCCTTACTTGAATTCAATAATTGAAGGCTTTACCTGTCGGCAGGATAATAATTAAGAGAAAGACACCTTCATTTTTGACTTGCATAATCATGTTAGTTTCATAAACAAACAATCATGTGAGTGTATAAAAAATCAATTGTATTCCTTTAAACAATAACCCTTCTAATGTATGGATAATTTTAATCGTGCGATCACAGTTAAATATTCAAATTTTAGGTAGAAAGGGTAAGAGGCTTATCTCACAGGGGACTGATTGTACTACCCCCTAATATTCACAGTCTTCTGAGTTTAGTTAATGGCGGCATCAGGAATTTCTACTTGTGTACGAGTTTTCCGATCCTTTAATCAATCAAGAAGTAATTGCGACCGTCGTCCTTGTTTTTTCTGTCGCTCACGATAGAGGTTGTTGGGCAGGAGAATATGAGTTATCTCTCAATAAAAGTATCAATTGTTGGAACCAAATTCAGCACATCTGCGTACGGAAGCGAAATCCAGTCAAAATTGCCCATAATCTCTGTGATGAGAGATTGGGGTTGATTGTGGGCTGTGGTTGAATCTAAATAAGAATGCCTACATATCTTCGAGAAAGGGAATCAAACCATGGGTGTAGTTCTAAGAAAGAATGGTGTGATGAGCAATACACCGTGAATTATCCTTGACGAATAGCCTATGGAAGGGCACTAAGGAAATGAGTTATCCATGGATGTGTCTATGCTAGACAACGACATATATGCAAGATGGGCCTTTGTTAGGCTAGAGAGGATATGTGAGAGATGTATCTTCAGTTGTGAGTGATTAAAGAATTCAGAGAATGTCCCTTGATAAATTCTTAGGCTAGAGTATTTATAGAGATCTTGAGAACTCCTTGTAAGGAAAGTAATCTACATCAAAAAAGGAGACATCGAGGAGATATCTAATTCTCATAAGATAATGATTATGTTGCCTAATTCCTCAGATATCCTAATTTGACTTGAAAAAGGGATCCCTTACTTGGAAGACAAGTAATATCTTTAATATGCCTTAAGCTAGCCTACTAGAATAAGGCTATCGGACTACGCTCCATGGGCTTGGGGCATTCCGATTCTTCTTGCAACTCAAGGTGCCACATGTCATATACCCAGAAAATCATGATTCCACAACTAAGTTGTTTCAAACGTTTGCAAATACAAGAAGGAAATAAAACAAATTTCTAGGGTTAAGGATGCGGGTGGTAACTGGTCGGTTAAGGGACATGGGATGGAGGATGTCTTTGTGCATGACTTTAAAAAACGATCTACTGGTACTACTGAATCTAGAACTAATGCACTTCATGACTTCGTTAATATTGTTCAACCATGTATATCCCAGGAACAAAATGCGGCGTTGACAAATGAGGTAACAGTTAAGGAGATTTGAGAGTTGAGATCTAATTCAGTTTGCAGGTTAGTTAAGGACATCGAGTCAAATTAATTAACCATGCTGTCATTGTTTTGATACCTAAGGTTGACCATCCTGATTGTGTTAATCATTATAGACCTATAAGTCTTTGTAATGGCAGTTACAAAATCATAACAAAGATAATTGTCGAAAGGCTTAAAGCCAATTCTTAAGGATTATATTTCTCAAAATCAGGGTGCTTTTGCCCCTGTAAATCAATACACGTTAACATTCTTTTTACTCATGAACTTTTTAATACTTTTAAGACAAAGAAAGGAAGAGTGGGAGCTATGGCAGATAAATTAGATCTTGAGAAAACTTATGATTTACTTGACTAGAGATACATTGATTAAGTTCTGAAGAGGTTTGGTTTTAATGAGGTGTACCCAATTTGCAAAGAATAGATATAAAGATTCTCTGATTCACTACAAGTTTATCCAGGAGTTGAATGGATACAAAGAAAAGGAACAGACTAGATGCAACAAGGTTAAACAATTTAGTTTATATCCATTTCAATGCCAAGAATGTCAACAAGAAGGAAAGAGAGGAAGATGGACTAGGTGTGCTACTTGTCAGTGAAGCTAGTATGGTGCAAGGATGGATTGCTGAGGGTGGTGATGAAGAAGATTAGCTTGATTCAATAATGGATGTAGAGGCGAGCAGATGAGGTGAATTCGAGCAAATGGATAGATTCCTAAAGCCTAGGAGTAGTTCTAGAGTAAGAGAACTACATGAGAAAACATGCTTAGGTCCGTAGGCATTAGGCTTCTGTCTGCTGCCCAACTAGTGCCTAATACTTTTTTGAACATTGCATACATGATGGTAAAGTAGATCTTGAACTACAACAACAACAACAACAACAACAACAAAGTCGTGTCCCACTAAATGGGATCAGCTATATGAATCATAGAACGCCACTGCGCTTGGTTTTGTGTCATCTCTTCCGTTAGATCCAAGTAATCCAAGTCTTTTCTTAGAGTCTCTTTCCAAGTCTGCCTAGGTTTTCCTCTACACCTTTGGCATTGAGCCTCTATCTCGTAATCACATCTTCTAACCGGAGCGTCTGTAGGTCTTTATTTCATGGACGATCAAAACTACAACTACTAAAGTGGAACTTTCCAGTTACCCTCACCTACTACACATTATCGAAACGAAACTCGATATTGTCTTCGGTAACAACTGTTGCACCTTCAATTTAGGTGGTTTGTAAATAGGTCGACAATGCATACCAATCTAAGCTTTTCAAGCTTAGGCGATCAAGCTTGGTATACTAACTAGACAACATATTGCTGAAAGGGGAGTGAATTCCACTAGTCTTTTTCCCTCTTGCACTCGTCTTTTAATTTTCTTTTGATCTGCTTCATCCGATGGCATGAAATAGAGAGAAAAGTGCAGGTCAAAAGGGAAGTGCAGAAATCATTCCCCTTGCAGAAAACCTGACGGCGAAAATAAAACGGTCAGCATGAAGAGTTTAGGCAAATGGAGCACAGGAAGTCGGAACAAAAAGGGAAATAACACATGAAGCACATGCGAGCATTTGAATCACTTATGTGCATGTATTTTGAAGATCAATGTGTACAATAATACAGGCACATGTTAGAGCTTGGCATTGGCCCTTTGAATTATGCATCACTGAAATTACTCTAATTCCTCTGCAGGCAGAGAAGAGGACTCCATTATTCTAAAAAAACCAGTTGCAAACTAGTAAAAACCGGAAAATTGACTTCCGTTTTTAATGTCAAATTAAATGTAACAACGTAAGTTACTCGACCATTCCATCTCTGATCAACTCTTCTAACCCTCTCCTCAGCCTTTCTGCAGCAGATTTGCAGTCATCCTCTACCAAGCCACCGAAGGAGATTCTCACATTCCCCGGGCATCCACAAGCACTTCCGGGGATCACCACCACCCCATGCCTGTGAGCAAGCCAGTGAACAAATTTATCATCATCTACATATTTGTCCGGAAGCTTTGCCCACAAGTATATAGCACCTTCTCCACCTTTAACAGCATTGTTCCCGAGGGGAGAGAGAGCTTCTAGAACAATTTCTCTGTTCTTGACTAGACCCTTCACTCGTTCAGTGACCCATTCGGGTCCCATTTCCAATGAGTGGAGGGCAAGGTGCTGTGAAATTATTGAAGCACAGATGGGAATGTTATCCTGAACTTTGAGGAGTTGGGTACCAAAGCCCTCTACTTCTGATGGGTAAGCTATCTGCATAAATTCATCAATTAAGTTGAATCAGCAATGCTAACTCATAAATCCAAATATCGATTTTACCATATGATCAAGTTTGAAGATACAACTTTGAGATCGATCAAAATTTCTATGACTCGTGTTTACCATGCAAGAAAATCTCTGGACAGACGTGTAGTTGTAATGGCTATTTGATATGGTGTCTATCAAGATGCAAAATCTACAACTACTGAAGGACGTAAAACTTTCACACTCAATCTAGACCTATTAACTTAACATTGAAGATGAAAAGTATTTTCTTACATATCCGACACGCCATCCCATCATCCCATAAGCTTTCGAGAAGGAAAAAATGTTGATTATGTGATTTCCCTCCACACATGTGTGTTTCAAATCATCATACATAAAATACCTGCGAGATCAAACGTTATGACTCACATATACTTCAGAAGCAAACATTTGGCAATTATTATTCAATCGGAAGCAGTTAAAACTCGGACACAGCTGAAAAGGAAACAGGAAAAGAAAATTCTCCCTTAACAGTACTCAGGTAAACACCAACATACAAATGAAAATACAGACGAGAATCATACAGAACCAAGTCATCAAGGCAGCAAAATACATACTATTGCAACATTTCTAATAAGATTACAAAAAAAATCAATAGACTTACTCATATGTATTATCCACAACTAGCCAGGATCCAGCATCTCTGCATATATCAGATATCCTCTACTCACAAAGAGAGGAAAGAAAGTAAGAAAAGCATATACAATATTTAGTTTATCACAAGGCTCAATCACTGCTACAAAGTTTTTATTGTGTACACACAATCAATGACTACACACTCTTTTAAGAGAACGAGATAGAGAGAGACCTTAAGAAGAGAATCCGGAATATAGGTTCCACTTGGGTTGCCAGGATTAACAACTGTAACAAGTTTTGGGGTTGGTTTGGTTTCGGATAACGTTTTCTCCAACCAGTCTGAAATCAACATAGTAAATATGACGACACGAAAGAATAATCACTGGAATACTGTACCACATTGGTTTATGTTAAATTCTACAAACATATATAGATGCATGACAAATGACCCAAGGTGTCAGAATTCCGGGCTACCAGAACATGTCTAAGTTTGGACTGTAGGAAAGCACCAATCAACTATGGCAAACTTAATGTGATATGTTATAATAATTTAGTGAGCTTGAAATGAGAAATTAAACAGGGTAACTAAGTATATGTTGCAGTTAAAGTTTATCAACAAGACTTTTGACATGATTTGACCAGTGACAAACATTACAACTCAAGATAACAAGGCTTTTGACATGGTTAAATTTATATCAAGATCTAACCAGTGATAAATCATTAAATGTAAGTTAAAAAAAAATATCATTCTTATGTCCCTCTGCAACGAGAAGTTCATGAAGTCACCTGCATCTGGGTAGAGTGTCTTTGGGTGACCAGGACCCACGAGTATATTAGTGACTCCCGTCATCTGAAGGGACATGTAGGCATTGAAGTAGTATGGTGCAAACATAACCACAGAGTCTCCGGCATCACACAATGTAAGAGCAAGGTTCACAAATGCCTGCATTGAAATTGTTGCAAACTTATCCTAGATTGCTTGAAATCAGTTCTGTAAAACTCACTATTTATTGTCATATTTATATGACAGAGCAACTAAAGATCAAAATAAAGTGCACAGAAGATCATCATGTTTCATTTGTTTAGGTTTTGTGCCTGTAACAGATGTTACAGATGCAATATTTGAGATAACATGAAATTCATAGAAGATTACAACTTCCAGTGGAAGATTTCATGCTTATCACAATAGTGCTAATCACTCAAAGCTTTAACCGGGAAGTCAATTTTCTTCTTATCCTGGTCAATTTTCTTCTTATTTCAGATGCTAAGTTACACAACTATAAAGCAAACTATTTGCCTCTCCAAAATTAAATTTTGTCTCTTTTTACAGTCTAGATATTAGTAGTTTTATAGACCTTTCATGGAAATACAAAACATAAATAATCACCTGATTTGCGCCTGCAGTAACCATCACTGAAGATTTGTACAACTTATTTTCACGATGCAACTGCAAAACAAAGAAATGAAATATGTTTGCCGATTATAAATTTATAGTTGGATAATCATATTTCAAAAGCAGTGATTTCAGACAAGGACAACATTCCAACTTTGTTATAAACTAAAACATTATGCACAGCAGCTCCCTAAAGAAAAAGTCTAACAGCAACTCCCTAAAGAAGAAAAAAGGGAGATCCCGGGTTCGATACTTTTGTAAGCCGTGAATCTGCTTGATTGTGGGCACGGATAGGGTGCAATTCCCAACTAGCCTCCTCCTGGCACAGAAGGGGTGGATAACCGTGGTTCACCACCAGTTGTCCCCCTTTTAAAATAAAGAAATAAAGAAAAAAATGCGTTCAAGGGTACCAAGGGAGCAGAACCTAGTAGACAATCAGTGCACGGGACTAAATGAACTGGAGTCACATTGAATCTTCCATCCATGAAAGAAAATGAGTTAAAAGTGATTCTTGAGCTATAGAATGGAATGCGAAACTCCTAAAATGAGCAATTCCTACTCCAATCATAAGCATAAATCCACTCATGTAGACTTCTTCATAGAACAGAAAAAAAATACTTTGGGGTTGATTCTGGAGCTTACAGTCACAGCATTCTGAGCTCGCTATAGAAGATATAAATCCACGTATATTTGGGATACAAATCCACAACCTCTTTCACAATTTCTAAACAACACTAACTTCTGAAAAAATCATTAATCTAAAGGTACCCGTAACTTGTTCTTAAACTGATCTTCTCAATCCTAGAAAGCGTCAGCTTAATAGCTTAGGCTTGTTCAACCAATGGAACTGCATTTAGTTGGCTTGAAACCTGGCCAACCCATAACACTGATGAAATGGGACTGGCATAGTCCCCAAAGGGTAATTGTTAGAATTGACGCAAAAAGCAGAATGTGACTACCCATGCATTATTTGAATATATCGTTGAACTGAGAACTCGAGTATATGAACGTGTCAAGAGATTAAAATGGATCATATTCAGGAGAAACACTGAAGTAGTTCTAATGATACCTTTTGTACCAATGCCTCCCTGAGTTCAGGTATACCTTCATCAGCACCGTAACGACTAATTGAAGGCTCCCAAACAAGTTCTTTCACCTTATCCAATGCCTCTTTTGGTGGTTGCCAATAAACTACTCCCTACAAGTGTTCCAATCAAAGAACAATAAAGGTTATTTGCCAAACGTAACCAAGGGATAGAGACATCATAAAATAGCAGTCCTACTAAATGCAAAAGCAGTGATGAGAGAATTTGTATCTGATGAACAAATATATAAAATGCATAATACATCCCTCTGCTGGAAAAAAAGTACCAGATTGAGGGATAGAAAGGCCATAAATTTGGTGGACATAACTTGACAATTTGACATATAACAAAACAGAGTATGTTGTTTCCTTGAAAATGCCTTAAGTTCAGCAAGTGGGAAAAGAGACTCATGTTCGAGAGTTGGGACAAACTCGCTCCCATTGGCCATTATTTCAGAATTTTGTTATTTGGGGATTGGGACAAACTCGCTCCCTAGCATTTTTCTTCATTAATAGTCTTCAACTTGAATGATGCAAAAGTTGCACTTGTCATATGCAGGCACAAAAACAGCTTCTTGAGGTGCATAGCTTTCAAGTCAAAAGCTTATTCTAATACGAATTATCAAATGCTTCTTTCACAACACATTCATCGTTTCCAGAAATCGAAACAAGCACCAGACACGCAACTCACACTCGAAGAACAAATCAGACGGTCCAAAAGTTACCATTACATGTACTTTGGCATTGGAACACCCAAATTAGAAAACAACATTCTCATTTCTCAGTGGCTCCATGGTTTTAGCAAAACAAAAAATGAGATATTTAAGTCCTTAGAATCAGAGAAACAAACCTGAGCCAGTGACACGGCATTTTTGGCTCCTCGGACCAGCTGCTGTATCTGCAAAAAAAAAAAGAAACGCAACTCCCACCATAAACATTGAAACACCCAAAATTCCAAAACAGATTCGAGCGACAGTCTACACTAAATTAATCTAAACTACGAGGAGCGGAATTCAAAGAGAAAAAGTTCAAAGAAATAAAGAAACCCCAGTTGGAGTTTTGGCCTGAATACCTGAACCATGATCGGCATATTAGTCTCCACGGCCCTCCTTGCAAGTTGTCCATAGGAACCCATCTCGTCAACCAAACCAAACGCCCAAAAAAAATGATCTCCAATACAAATTCTGAAACTTTCCCAGAAATCCAATCAGAGAAAGAACAAGAAAACCCTCAAAAGCTTATGTTATTTTGCTTCAAGGATAAAACTTTCACTACCCAAAAACCCAAAAAAGCTTCCTACCTCCACAACTTTTGGCACTTCACAAACACATTAACAAAGTCGGTGGTGACGTTCAGAACTCTCTCTCTCTCTCTCTCTCTCTCTGAAGAATAACGCTAAAAAGATAAGGAAAAAAAAAAGCACTTTCCATTTAATTTATTTTTTGCCTGTTCACATTCAGAATACAGGCAATGGCCGCTCTCTTTCGGGTACGTTTCTTTGACTTGCCTTTGTCTCCTAGTCCTTCTTGTACAATTTTAATTTTTTTTTGTTTTACTTTTGGGTAAATAAATTAGACTCTGTGTCTGTGATTTTAATTTTTATTAATAAAAAAACATGGTAAACCAGAAAAACCTGGGATTTTCTGACAAAAGAGGAATTATCTGAATGGAAAACTGATGATGAAGCCAATTGTTGTTGAAGCTATACGACTGGAAATCGGGATCTCCGATGATTACGCGTATTGTTTCCAATTTTTAATGTTGTGTTATTTGTTTAATGCAGTTGGGTGAAGTGCAGACAACAGAGTAACAGAGAGACAGGAAATCTGGAACACCGGCAACTTGGCAGGTTTTATTTTATCCACCATTTCAGAATTATTGTGCATAAAAGTATAAGGATAAAGTGTCGATTTAGTTTTTGAATTATGACGTCACTGAAAATTAGGTTGTCGAACTATTTGTTCGGTAAAATAAGTCATTAAATTCATTAAAATTTGCTTATTTCATCTCTACTATATTCAAAGTTATTTTATAGTTTCATTAACTTAAGTCACTTGATACACTTTAGAATCGTCATTTTCTTGCCTGTAAGCCCTTAACATTTCATATAGGTTGCGAATCTAATGTTTAATTTATGTCCCCAAGATAACTCCATACACTATTTATTTATTAAAATTACTAATATACCCTTTTATGTGTATCACATGCAAGTAAGATGGTTTAAATTGACAGAAAATTGAATGTAGTAACTTCGAATCAAATATTAGAGATGTAAATGATAGATTTTTATAATTCAATGACTAATTTTTTTGAAAAAATAGTTTAAGAACCTAATTTTCACTCAAATGATAAGTCAGGAACTAAATTGACAGTTCATCCAAAGAATAGAATTGAATTTTGAGTATTGAAAATTTTATTTGAACTCATACAACTTTTTTTCTATATTCAATTTACGTTTTACACTCATATTAGTTTTAAGACTTGGTTGAAAATACTTTTAAAACATCAATTATGTGTTTCTTTCATGAAGCACTTTAAATGTTTTTTCAGGATTTATTTATAATTTTACTAAAGATTGATTCTAAAATCATATTTCACCAAAAAAGTTTTTAACTATTTTAAAAGCACTTTCAAATTAACTCTTAATTAATCTATCAACATCTTTTTAAATTTAAATATTATCAATTGGGGATTATGGCAAAAATTTCAATCGGTTAGGGGATAACTCTCCGAGACAGAGAGTGGGGAGGTAGAATGATTGCAGAGCCAGAAAGAGGGGGAGGGGCGGGGCGCTGAACAGGAGCAAGCAAGGCGCCTATTTTTTTTTTTTTTTAATTCGGTGATGGGAAGGGTCACTGATATAGAGAAGGAGAGGGATGAGTGGGAACCCTGAACAGGGACAAGTAAGGTCAGTTCCTGCAAGATGAACCCACCCTCTACATGCATGTCCTGTTTCAAAAGGTAACAACTCATTGCTATTTGCTGAGAGAGAGACTAAAGATTTAAAGAAAACAATCTTTGTTTTGAGTACCTCTCCTGAGCTCAGAATGGAGATCCTTTTGGGCAACTCATCCGGACTATTGAATTTTGATCCAACGGCTCAAAACATGAGACATCTCTAAAAGTTATAATAATTGTAGCCGTTGGATCAAGTTTGAATGACCCGGATGACTGCTCATGAAAATTCTCATCCTAAGCTCAGGAGATGATCTAGTTCCCAATCTCAACATTGTATGGATGAAGGGTTTGAGGGCTGGTTTGGTATTGCTGTGCTTTGAAAAAAAGCTGCTTCTGCTGTGCTGTGAGAATAAGCAGCTGTGAAATAAAGCAGCAGAGTGTTTGGTAAACTTTTTTGTAAAAGTGCTTTTGAAAAAAAAAAGCAGTATTAGAGTGTTTGGTAAACTTTTATGTAAAACAGATGTGAAAAAAAGCCAAATTTTCAAAGCTAGGTTTTGCAGCTTCTTGTTTTTGGCTTTTTTTCATCCAAAACTGTGAAAAAAAGCTGAAGCTGAGTGTTTACCAAACACAAAAACAGCTCCCAGCTTTTTTTTATAGCAGCTTTTTTCAGAATCACCTCAGTACCAAACCAGGTCTGAGTCATTTCGTTGATTGTCAGCTTATCTACTTTTGTTTGGAAAACAAGAGCTCATGATGTTACTTTCGCGTCCATTACAACCGGAGTCATTTTCACATCGTTATTTGACAAGGGTAACAAGATCTTAGGAATGCTGTCCATGAGGGAATACCCTGATGCCAGAGTCAAGAGTCTCTACTTATTCTCCCTGTGATCTGATTGTAAGGTTTTATTGCATGAATGGATCATGTATGATAAATTATAATTACGATAAGATTATCAGCTAATTTAGCCTTCTCAACAATATACATTACGCCAATAACACTTCCCTATAGCAAATATCAAACATGTTATATATGTGAAACAATATCACCTTAACTGGTCAGAGTGCGTGCCTTCTTGCTTGCACTACTACCTAAACTACCATCATAAATCCAATCCAATCCAATATATAATTTTATCTTTTCATGCATTTAAAAAATAAAAACCTAAAATCAGTTGAAGACAACTTTTTCAACTATTTCCATGTCTAATTCTGTAGTGTGAGAACCTGCTACTCCAATATTTCTCTGTTTATGGACTTGGTTGTTAGAATTTTTTTAAGGGTATTTCAAAATACAGAGTTGATTTATTTTCTCTAATTATGGATGTTAATATTATCACTTAATTGGTTGGTATCCATTACTTCTAGTGTACCATTTCTATAATAACCATTATATATATAGCTATAGTCGCCGTTTTGCACAAGCATTTATTGTCATCTTAATTTTGATATCAAACATATTGTTTTATAACTGTTAGTCATTATTTTGATATACTAATCCTCATATGTCCAAAATATAAACCATTCGATAAGAGTTCATCAAGTGATTCTTCTTTGAACCACTCATTCAAATATGAAGCTTCTTAGAAAAACTCTCCAATTCTCTCCTCTCTCGTCTATACATGGATCCCTCATTTCAAGTGTTGTTATGTCATTCAATGTTCTGTACCACTAGAAAAATCGAGTTGTTCATCCAATCTAAGTATTGTGAGTGTACGCATACAAGGGTCATATGTTGTTGTATCCTGGAAGGTAGGGCATCATAACTTGTTATACCGAGACTTTTACTTTGAGAGGCAAAATCTACTGTTAAGGATAGTGAGCTTACACACCTAAACCTAAAATTTTGTTCTAATTAAGTATCGACGAAGAAAGGTTTCTATCCTACAAAAGATAAGTATTATGTTGTTTTATTATTTCACATGATTTACTATGTCACCATAAAGTATCATTTACTAATATTTATCTTATGTGATTTGTTGTAGAAGAAGTAATTCACATTGCCATTATTCCAACAATCTTAAGAGTAGATTTTGGTTGCTGATTATTCACATATATTAAACCACTCATTGGAGCAAATGTTGGCTACATGGATAATTAAAAAGGAAAACTAATGAAAAGAATTTGAGAACTTTGAGATTTAACGATAAGGACAAAATAAAGTGTAAAGTGAATAATACCAGGATTGAATTGTTAGTGTAAAAATGTGGTTTTTCGTTAAAGTGAACAATACATGCAGTTTTTCTTTAAAGTTCCCTAATTAAAAAATGGTTGGAACTTTTATTGCTTTATATACAAAAGGTTATGTGTCACAAATCATTTAGTCATTGAATTATTTTTATAACTAAAATATTTCTAATATGTCATAACGTGAGCTTGTGTATGAGTGTTGTTAAGGAGGCTATGTCATTGTGATTTGTCAATCTAAGGCTAAAGAGCAAGGTGTGGATGCAAATTTCTTCTTCCTTGCTCTCAGACAAAATTGCACCTACAAAACAAATAACACATTAGGTCAAGGCCAAGAGCCTCATGTGCCCACAATGACTTGGGGGGGAGGGGTGGGTTTTGGCCGATGCCAAAGTTAAAATTTTAAGGGAAAAGTGTTTGGAGAATTTAGAGAATTTAGCAAGAGAATTGGACTTGAGTTTTGGAGAGAATGAGAGGGCTTTTATAGGGGTGTGGCCGGCCTCCTTGGGTGAGAGAGGACCGGCCACTTGGCTCTCTTTGTGTGTGTTTAATTGGGCATAATTGAATAATTAACTAATTAATTAGCCAATTAATAGAATAATTACCTAATTGATTAGCTAATTAGTATAATAAAAAGGGAAAGATTTGGGAGTTACATTGTGGAAAGGATTTGATGAGGATGGATGAAATAGGTTTTGAATTGTTACCTATTTTGGGCATTTTTAACTTGGTTGAGGATGATTGCCTGCTACTTGCGCGTAGGAATCCTGATGTGGCTCAAGGGTATTCTTGTCCTTTTAATCCAAAGATCTACGTGTCACATTGTGATTATTTTTGGCTTCACAAATGCCCCCACACCTGTTAGGCTGCTCGTAGGAGAGGGCAGCAGGTGTAGAGATCTTCTTGCTTTAGGAAACGTAGGGTTGTTTCCTATTTTGATGTTGATTCCCTTTTTAATAGGAAATTAGATCCTTCTAGGAAAGGGAAATAAATTTCTCTCAAAGCCTATTTAAGTCCACCTTCAGTGGGTTATTAAATCAACTTTGGAGAGCGATTTATTCTACCATACAAGAGAAAGAAAGAGAGTTTAAAGGATATTTGTTCCCCCTCCTCTAGCAATCTTTTTACATCTTGCCCGTGCAAATGATCATCTTTTGTTGATTTCTTTGTCTTCTCCGCGCCGCACCGAGGTAAGAAAAAATTAATTTTCCTTGTCTTCTTCCTTGATAGTGTTGTCATGGGGTAGCCGTCGGGGTGGTGTGGCATGTCGGCTGGCAGGGGCCAGGAGTCGGCTCGGCATGGGCTAAAGAGATGTTGTGG